CTCAGTCTCTCTCTCTCAAATAAATAAATAAAATCTTAAAAAAAAAAAAAAAAAGCAGACTGACTTTTAGTCAATTTTATTACTGCTTTAAATTCTCTAAAATACTAGTGATCAAGGGGCACCTGGGTGGCGAAGTCGGTTGGGCACCTGACTCATTGTTTCGGCTCAGGTCGTGATCTTAGGTCCTGGGATTGAGTCCCATGCCTCTGTGCTTAGTGCTGAGTCGGCCTGGGACTCTCTCTCTGTTTCTCTCTCAAATAAATAAACCTTTAATAAATAAATAAATAAAATGCTAGTGATCAAATACTCCCTACCCTCCTCCACACACCACTGCCTTTTGCATGAGCTAGTCTAGTTGTTAGAACCAAAGTACCTTGACTATAACCAATAATAATGATCTTGACCTAACCAACAATCTAAAGAGAAAATAGTGAAAGAAATCAGAGTCAATACGCGTTTTTTCCAAAATTAACAAGTTATTAATTCAAGTAAAGAAAATTTATTTTAAATATTAAATGATTAAGAGAAAAAAGCATACAGAACTTTTTTTTTTTTTTTAAAGATTCCTGCCTTTGTTTAAAGGAAGTGATTTGATGTGGATCACTAAATGAACATCACTGTAGGGACTAAGCACTATGCACATAACAGAGACTGACAAGGATATGTTCAACTAAAGTATTTTAAATCATAATTTAAGCCTTTGGATCTCAACGTCCTGTACATAAAATTTTTTAGAAACTCCAAGGGAAATATTAAAGATATTCTATGAAGGCTTACAGGAAAAAATTTACATATGAACAATTGTAATATGGCAAATACAAAATCAAAATACAGACTGATTCACAAAGATGAATTATGACCCTTGTAGTTATGACCGGCCACTCACCGAATTTCAAAGTTTCCTACCTGAATGATAAGAATGAATTAGGCCTTGCATGTGAAAATAAGTCATACCTGGTAGGATCATGAATCCTCTGAAATCACTGAGGTCCACCAGGACTGTCCTAAGTCTGAGACTTGTGGTCACAGTCACCAGCCCAATTCACACCATTTATGATTAATCAGTCTTTTCACTGCCTCTATTCAGCACATATTCACTGAGCATTTTTAACGTACAAGGTGTATTCCAGGCAATGAGGATATACTGGTGAATAAATCAGATACAGGCCCTGAATTCCCTGAGTAAAAAATGCAACAAAAGGAACCCAGGAAACAAGTTCTTTCAGTAACTTGCTTTGTATTATGTGAAAATTATTAAAGGGAAACCTCACTGAAGTGGACCTGGAGGGGGCGCCTGGGTGGCTCAGTTGGTTAAGCATCTGCCTTTGACTCAGGTCATAATCCCGGGGTCCTGGGATGGAGTCCCGCATTGGGGGGGCGGGGGGTCCCTGCTCAGCGGGGAGTCTGCTTCTCCCTCTGCCCTTCCTACTGCTCACGCATGTGCAAGTGCTAATAAATAAATAAAATATTTAAAAATAAATTAAGAAAAAAAGGGATGCCTTGGTGGCTCAGTCATTAAGCATCTGCCTTCAGCTCAGGTTCCTGGGATGGAGTCCTACATCGGGCTCCTTGCTCAGCGGGGAGCCTGCTTCTCCCTCTGCCTGCTGCTCCCCCTGCTTGTGCTTGCTCTCTCTCTCTGGCAAATAAGATTTTTTTAAAAAGTAATTAATTAAGAAAAATAAATAAAGTGGACCTGGGATGCTACAAGGCGAGGCTTAAAAGGGGAGCTGTACCACCCAATGACAATTACAAGAAGAACTATCAATTACAGACCCCTAACAAGAAGAAGCTTCAACAGGAAAGAATCATCAATTACAGGCCCCAACAAGGTGAGATGTACATTGCATCTCCTACAAGAAGTCTACTATCCCTACAACTCATCCACTGAAAAACCAGCATCACCCTCAACCCCTGCTTTTCTCCAATGCGCTTTCCTTCAAAAATAATCCATCCCAACTTCTTCTCTGTAAAATAAAGTTCCTCTCCTTTGCGGGACTTGTCTATGGTTTGCCATAGCTTGCATGTCCCAAATTGCAATTTCTCTGCTATTTCCCAATAAACCCATTTTTACTGGTAAAGTAACTGGCAGTTTTATTTTTAAGGTTAACACATGTGTCCTTTCCAGGACACAGGATCCTGTAGTGATTGAAGCAGGGAGTAACTAACTTACGTTCCCGAAAGAAAAGTAAGACTTAGCCAGGAAAGTACAAGTGGAACGAGAGAGAAGGAGGGGACCAGGCAAAGGAAACAGCCGATGCAGAAAGGCCTAGAGGCAAGGTTCAAAATCAAAGAACTGAAAGAGGGTTCAACAGGAGAGGGAATGCAATGATGAGGTCTGAGAGCTAGGTAGGGGTGGAGCCAAGAAAGGCCCCATAAACCACAAGAGCCGTTTCTCTATCTGGGTGAAAAATCAATTTAAAGCAATTTACTACAAAACCGAAGAAAGTCTACAAGTTTAACACTGGACTTACATCTCACAGAAACATACCTGCAATGCTGTTATTATAAAGGCTTTCAACATATTCATGGTGATAAAAAGAACAGTAAAAATATGTACTTCAGAACAGCTTCTACCAAAAAAAAAAAAAAATCATTGACTACAAAGCAGTGTTATTTTCTTCTCTGTAACACAATCTATATGGGAAAAGAAGACATCCTGTGGGGAAACACATCAACAAGGCCCAGGTGCCCACAATTTACAAAATTTACAAAATATCATAAAGCCAGCATTTTATACCCAAACATACCCTTTCTGTACTACAAAGAGATGTGCCCCCTTAGGATCATACACTCAGGACACAAAATCTGACAAATACTTTCAAAACTACATCAAATATAAAATCATCTCGTATCCTTCAAGACTAAGGTATGGGGTATTTCTCATAAATATATTTTCTAAATATCCGTAACTGGAACTTTGCCCTTAAGCACCAAAACTTTTTACTTTTGACGATTTTCCCTAAAAAGTACCTATGCATCTACACCCACCAACTGTGCAGTTTAATCTTCAGGCCACATTTTGGGGCCATTATTTTAGATATCAATTATGGGCTCCAGTATTCTTTGTAAACATCAATTACTAGGATTTAGTGGAGGTAAATGTGCCCCTTCCTCAAAGCACCCTATGGATATAGTAGTGGGTTTTTTTTGCCTTTTTAAAAATATACATACACATAGTTTTAGATTTCTTCTTTATCAGGTTGTCAATGTTCACGGACTACAATCCGGATGCCTACCCACGCCTTCTTCTAATTTGCTGCTTCTAGTTTCGGCCTGGGAAACCAGAAAACTAAACTAGTTCAAATTATAGGGAAAATGAATAGAGTCGCTGAGTCCCTCCTACAAGAAATACATGGAGTTTACGCCACTGATTTTGGCTGCTGGAGACTATTTAGCTTCTCATTAGCCGATCTCACCAATATCCCACGGTGTTTTCAAATGAGCTAAGGCCACTCCTACAACGCTGTTATCTCCAGGTGCTACAACCTAAGTGATTCCTGGTTTGCCTCCACCACTCCTAAGTGCAAAAAGAAGGGTGGAGGGGGCCAAAATGACCAGTTAACCACACACAAGCCTAAATTTGCCCTCATGGAAAGTACCATTTACAAATAAACTGCACTACAATTTACTAAGCTTGCCTGCAGCATTCTCAGCTCTTCTACGTAGGAGCTCGTTTGAGTAGTTCCACATTTCTTGCTAGCTCTGACACGAGAGGAGACGTCTACCAGGCAGGTTTTAAAGTCATCCTAAGAGAAAAATTAAGCTCTTATACCCAATCTTATCTCAAAAAGAGAGGATGTGTGTAATACAGTAGTGAGAGCCAACTTCTGCTCCGAGCGAGCACTCCCCCGACACACCGGAAGTTTTGAAATATCCTGCAGGCTCCCCGTAGGCAAAGTGCTTTTCCTCGCCCCGTCTCAGTGGGTCCCCGAAGGTTCAAGGACCCCTCCGCGAACGGCCGCACGGGGGGCGCGGGCCCCCGGTGCGCCACGGAGGGGAGCGAGGCCGGCAATCACCGCCGACCGCCGGCTCCTCGCCGCGTAACCTTGGCCGCTCGCGAATCGGGCAGGTGGGAGGCACCTGCGGCCGGCGGGGG